GCTTATGGACATGCATGCCGCCGCCGCCACCGCCTCTGCTGTTGCTGCAGGTAGTAGTGAGCTGTAGTTGTGGCTATGGGGACACAGCGGGGCATCCAGAGTCAGCGCTGGCGTCGACGCCAACGCCAGCCACAGCGTCAGCGTCACACACAATGCAAAGAGCGAAGTAAAAAATAAAGCAAAATAAAAAGAGCGACTGAGCGAGCGAGCGAGTAGGCGGCCTGTCTGTGTCTGCTTGAGCGTGCTCACATGTGTGTGTGTGTGTGATGGTGCGAGAGCGTATACTTGTATGCGTGAGAGTGCCTGTGCGAGGCAGCACAAAGATCTTGTTGAGCAGGTAACTCAGCAACAACAAACAGCGCTGCAGCAGAGCAACGAACGTCGAAGCAAAACAAAAAGTGCGATTACGTTTGCTTTGCTGTTGCTGCTGCTGCTGCTGCTGTTGTTCTTGTTCTTGTTGTGGAGCAAAAGAAAAGGAAAAGAGCGAGAGTAGAAGCTATGCTCTATGAAATAAATCAGGTTGAAGCGACTCGGCTCACACATATCCTATACAAAAATTTGATTTGTTAAATGTGGGAATATTTTATTTCATAGATATTACTAACTTAATTATTATTTTGATTAGACTGAGTGTACACGGGTTTTCCATAGCGGAAACAATAGGGCATTGCGCATACCCTGTCTATATATGCAGATACAGGGTATATGTAGCTTCTCAGCCAGTGAGAGCGATAAGCTGAGTTTACGCGCCAAAAAACGTAGCAGATATTTATGCTGAGTTGTACAACTGACCACAAAAGAGTAGTAGAAAGTTACGAAAAGGTAGTAAATGGTTTATTGAAATGCTTTAGGCAGTTGCATAATATTTAAATGCTTCAAATATGTTAATAATATTATATTTCAATTGAAATCTTAAATGAAAATGTGTTTAAGTTTAATTTAAACAATGTTTAAATGCATGAAAATAATTTCACCATATCCTCATATGATGTGCGCAACATTGGAAACCTGTTTCATTGAGTCCACCTTCCCGTAAACAGGCTCTCATATTATGCTATATCATTCGCTCCTTCGACATTTCCATGGCACTTATTTTGCGCGCGCAAAGTTTCAGAGTATAGAAGAGTACAAAAACCCTTTTTAAGTTCTTCATAATAATTATCGTGTGATTATACTCAAGTTCCATTTTTAAGAGTATAATATATTATTTGAAATTAAATGTACGTCATTAGCTATTTTTTTATTCAATTGAATATAACTCTAGTTGTACCTAAAGCTTATAAGTTGAATGTCATTGACCTATTTCTGCGGCAAAGTATTAGTTTAGAACAACGAACTAATATTAGAAGAAGAATAATTAATAATAATTCATTAACTAATAAAAATAGGTCAATGACATTCAACATACATATTTATTCCAAACATACATACATACATGTATGTATGTAGGTACATACATATGTATTCATTCATATGTATGCATGTTTTATATCGCAATACAGTCTAATGCTATTCAATAATAACCAACGAAATGCTAGAGCAGCAAAAAGGTAGTAGATAAAAAAGTAGTAAATGAACTCAGCATTATCGTATGATTCCAATTTACTACTCCAAGTTGACGAAAACGTAAATAAAGCCGCAATGTTCGTTAAAGATAAGGCGCACTAATACTAAGCCACACACACACACATACGTACGAGCATAACGCATGGCGTGATGCAAGGATTGCCCAAGATGATGAAATTCAAAAAAAAAAGGGAAAAAAAAAACATGAACATGAATGCGCATGCAACAAGCGAAGAGGCTCAAAGAGGACTCGCAGAGAGCAGAGGCGGGGCAGCAGCGCACTGCAAGAAAAAGGGGGCTCGATTTATGATTTATTCTCTGGCTCGCCTTTTGCCTTAGTTTGATTTGATTTTTTCCATTTTTTTTTTGCTGCTCTCTTTTGGTTTCTTTCTTTTTTTGTTTTTTTGCTGGTTTTATCACAAAGCTTTTTCATTAGGGATTCCAATTACTTGAGGACGGTGCTGCTTGCCGGCAGGAGCTGCATTGCACACATAGAGATATGAGTGTGTGTGTGTGCGTGTGTGTGTATGTGTGTGTATTAGACGAAGCCAGTTGCAGCTGCCGCCTGTTGATTTCTTTTGTTTTTGCTTTTCTGCAATGAAACTGATTAAGCGTAATGTGAGAGAGCCAATGCAAGTTGGCAATGCTTTTATGATTCACATTTCATACATATGTACATATGCATGTATGTATATGTATGTATGAATGTTTGCATGTCCATATTATTATCACAGTTTCCACCTTAACAAAAAGAAAGCAATAAAATCGAAAACAAATGCCATAAATGTTTAAGGAAAACAAATTGAAATCACTTTTCAAAACACCAAAAATTAAGCCAAATAATAATAAAAAAAATATATATAAAAATATAAAAAAAAAAGAGAGAAACAAATAAAACCTATATGTAAACGAAGTATACAAATTAAAAGACTTCCCCGTTGACATTTCTGGGTCAGCGACCCAAAGAGTTAAACGAGCCAGCAGCAAAGCAAGTGGAGGGAGCGAGAGAGAGATAGAGGGAGTGGGAGAGGGAGGGCAGAGCAGTAAGTGGAGTAGTGTCCAGTGCCCAACCCAAGTTGTAGCGGCTGTTGTTGTTTTTATTGAATATGATTATGTGGCACGCTGCAAAAGCGAGCGTAAATTATTTATTACACAATTTCGCAGCAGCAACAGCTACAGCAACAACAGCAACAGCAACAATAACGGCAACAACTACAACAACAATGAAAACAAATAAATTTTTGCATTTGGCAGCCGCCACGCAAAATGTGACGAAAACGCCGCCGCCCGCTTCAATAAAAATAAATAATAATTCATATTTACTATAAGTAGCAGCAGCAGCAGCAGCAACAACAACAACAACCAATTAGGCGTTGCCGCAGCAGTAGCTAAACAACTGTAAATTGTGCGCCTGCGCAGCCAGCGCAGCAGCAGCCGCAGCAGCAGCGCAAATGGAGAACAAAACGCAGCTGAGCAAAAGGAACGACAAAGTGTATAACGGGGTATCGGGGGGTAGCGAGGCCTGGACTATGACAGGCAGTGCAAGCTGAGCTGAGTCTGTTCGACACAAATTACCGTTAAATTAAGCGCTGGCCCGTCTGTGAAGCAGCTTCGCTCGTAGGCGAGAAAGAGAGGGAGAGAGCAGTGGGAGAGCAGCGAGTGCGAGCAGATTAAGCTGCTTAAATGTGTGTAAGTCAGATAATGTTTATGTATGTATGTAAGTTGTGCATGCACTGAGCTACAAGTAGCTAAGCCCGATTTGTTATCGATAAAGTGTTATCGGGGGGGAGGCGCAACTCTTTACGCTGCCCAAGCTTACATAAATACAAATATTATTATTTCTCGTTTTCAATAACACTTTCTATGGCCTCCCTACGAGGCAGTTTATCCCCCATCTTGATGACCTGCTCTTGATAAGAGGCAGAGCAGAGGCAGCAGCAGCAGTTGCCCTCGCCCTAGCCAATTGCAACAACAACAACAGCAGCAACAAAACTCAAATGAAGCGAATGGCAAGAGCTGCGCCTGGGCTCAGCCTAGGGCAAAGGGGCCAAGGGCTAAGGGCCAGGGCAGCTAGCATTGCAGATGCTGCCAGCAGCAGCAGCAGCACGCGACCACAGCGTCACATGTGCCGCAATCTTGTGCAGCCCGGCCCCCAATGCTCCACACAGCGGCAGCCAGCAGCAGCAGCCGCAGCAGCTGCGAAAACGCCAAGAACATTGACTTTGTGGAAAGCGCAAAAGAAGTCTGAAGTAAAAACAACAAACAGACGATAGAGAAAAAGCCAAAGACGATGATGAGCATGCGGAAGATGATGATGATGGTGATGAAGAATTGGCAGACTTATGCAACTTGATGCGTGCTTCAACTAGCAAGGAGAAGGAGAGAGAGTGAGAGAGGGAGCGGAGAAGGGGACGTGGTAGTTGCAACCGCAGTCTGTCGTATCTCCGCTGGACCGTTGACAATTGCTAATGGCGAAAGGTGAAGGGGGAGGAGAGCTGGCACACACCTTTCAGGCTTTGATTTTGTAGTCATAACTAACGAAACATTCAATAAAAGCTTCTGCCAGCCCTCGCTAGCACTGCCCTGCCGCAACAGAATCCACACGCACACACACACATCCAACTGGGTCACTGACCTATCAAGTGTAAGACCTATTGAGCAGCACGCGAATGAACGAGAGAGCGAGAGAGAGAGCTGGCGAGAGGGTTGGCAGCAGCAGGCAAATGTGGCAGCAAATGTTGCCGAGGGGCAGCGCCATAGTAAAAACTCCGGGAAAAAATATATTTATGCTCCTCTCTCGCTCATTCTGCCTCCCCCTCGCTGCAGCACTCTCTCTCCCACTCTCTTCCTCTCTCTCTCTCTCTTGCATAAAAACGAAAGCGCAGGCGAACAAAAAATTAAAATAAACCAACGAGGGGGCGCCCTCGCTAGGAGCAAAAGTGTTGCCAGGCGCGCGAACGGCGGGGGCGCGATGGGATGGGAGGGGCAGCGGCATAGGCAGCGCGAAAGGGAATACAGCCGCAGGCTATACAACCATGTGGGCTGTGGAGGCGTATGGGCGCACACTTTAGGTGTCAAAGCGTGCGAATGCGAAGGGGCCACAGCGAAAAACAGCTCAAGATTCGCCTCTGTGTGTGTGTTCGTGTGTGTGTGTGTGTGTCGACTGTAAATGTGGCAATTTTATTTACATTTGGCCAGCGCCTTTTTGACTTTGGCAGGTTGCCCAATGCAACGGAGGGTCAGGTCACACACACACACACACACACACAGATAGAACTAGGCCCCCCCTTCAAATTGGGGTAATTTTTCGTTTTGTTATTATATTTTATTCTTTGACTAACTTGGCTTGCATTTACCTGCCTGAGGTTGGCTCGCTACAAAGTTGTTGCCTTTTAAGCTCTTTGGCAGCTACTTTGATGGAGTGTCGCAGGGGATGGGGGAGGAAGTGCGTTGGAAGAGGGGCTCAACAGTGAAAGTATTACTGGGGTTCAGCACAAATGGTATCTAGAGCGTTTTTGTGGAAATTAAAAGGGGAAGAAATAAAAGTAAACTATTTGTTTGGTTAGCTCGAATAAATGAGAAGTGCATAGAAAGGTCATGCCGGCAACTACAAGCAGAATATAATAATCAAATAAAGAGGTAAGAAATTGCATCGTACTATAAGTAAAGTTAACTAGATTACATGAGAAGTGCATAGAGAGGTGTTATTAAGGAATACAGGCAGAATAAAATTAGAGTAATTATGATAGCAAGGTTAACAATAAAAATTTTTAAAATGTCAGATAATAAAAATATGTGAAAATAATCCATGTTAAAGATTTGAGGGATTTTTTAAAATTGTGAGAATCGCATAGAACAGCAATAGTTGGTCTCTTTGCAGCGAGAAACTTGGCCTACATTCGCAGACATACAATAACAATGCTTTTCACTTTTCACGGGAAATGTATGATATGCATAAATAAATAAATAAAGAGAAAAAATAAAGCAAAAAACCTGAAGAAGAAATTAGCTAAAATAGATAAGATAATCGATGAGATTTTCAGTCTATGCGTTATTTATTTAATTATGTGAGTCACTCAAAGATCGATGACTTGCCCCGTAAAACTGAAATTGGAAATCAACATGGGCTTAGGGCAACAACAACAACAACGGATGACTGCCCGCCCCTGCGCCCCCACCCGCCGTCAGCCAAGTGTGTGTAGCAAATCAAATGTAGCAGTCGAAACAGTAGCCGAACAAGCAGCCAGAGTCAAAGGCAACAAAATGTCATGATTTACAATAAGAAATCATATATCTCTCGACGTTTTTTTTTTTTTATCTGGTTTTGAAGCAACAACAACAGCAACAACAAAGCTGAGCTGACAATGAGCGCCTAAAGGGTTTCCAGCTGAACTCCCCTCGCCCAGGCCGAGCCGTTACGATCCGCAAACTTCACGCAACACAAACCGAGAAATACAAACAGATGGGACGGACGGACAATCGAATGATAAAAGAGGAAAAAAAACTATGTTACAAAGGCAGAGAAAAGAAAACATTAAAATGGAAGAAAAACAACAACAACAACAACAACAGCAACAGCAAAGCAAAGAAACTGGCTACGAAACTGGGCAACAGCCAAGCCAAGAACAGGGCTCACACTGAGACGGGGAAGGGAAGGGAGCCGAGACAGGGAACGGGAACTGTGACTGGGGCTCGTTGCCGGGGCGGAGAGACGTGCGTTTATTTTGTGTAAGACAGGTAGCCAGTCGCCAAGCGGCTCGACTCCGGCCATTGTGTCTGTCTCCGTCCGTTTGTCCGAAAAGTGCGCAGTTAAAAAAATCGGTCGCCAGAGAAACCCACAGACAGACAGACAGAACAGAGTGAAAAAAAAACGATCAACATAATCGATGATGATGTGGTTGTTGTTGTTGTAGAGCTCCGCTCGAATCGACTCGACTTGGCTGGGCTCAGCTCTGCCCTGTTGGCCCAGCCGTAAATGTGTTAAAAAACGCGCAGCGAGATTAAATGAGCATAAAATACAGCGCAGCAAACGTCGAACCGCGTATAGCGAAAAACAGTCGAACCTAAACATAAGCCCAAACCAACAAAAAAAAAAAACATCAGGGAGAGAAAGAGAGAGGGAGAGGGCGATAGAGGGAAAGAGAGAGAGGGAGAAAAAGTATCTTTAAGATGCCAGACACGAAACACGTCGTCGACTGGCGTTCATCAGCGACGACCCCTGACAGACAGACTGCCCACAGTCGAGCACAAACTCAGTCGCAGTCGCAGTCGCAGTCGCAGTCGACGTCGCCATCGCCGTTGCTGTCCCAAGTCCCTGTTCCAGCAGTCCCACTTGAATAGCCCGGACCTGCCCTCGAGCCTTTCGCCAATAAAATATGCATGCTGAGCCCGGCTTGAGACCCCGGGGCAAGATCTGCCTCTGCTGCTGCCGCTTCCTGCGGCTGCTGTAGGACTCGCGGTCTGAGGTGCGATCAGTGTGTGCAGAAGTTCATAAAGTGAAAATGTGTAGCACATGTATGTGTATAGATATATCCTATGTATATGCATTGGGCGTAAGAGCAGGCCTTAAAGCTGCAGCTGATGCCCTACGTTTGCAGCAGAGATCTCAGCTCTCCCAGGGGCTGATATCTACAGGCTCAGCTCAGTATCATTCCAGAAAAGAAATTATAGCATTTCAGTCTAGATCTAAGAAGAGGCACTATTAAGGTTGTAATGATACATCGGGTTTTACGAAAGAATTATACATCTGCACTGTCGTGGGACTGAGCTCCAAATATGATAGTATATTAGTATATCATAGTATATTCAAATATGAGGTAATTCTCTTGGAACTATCCAGAGGTAAGTACGTGCTCCACTTTTGATCAATAAATATAAAAAATATCCCAAGCTAAATATTTTAGAAAATTATTTATAGAACTTCATTGTTGATAAAAAATGAACAATTAAATCAATAATTAATTTTTTCATAATTTATATTTATGATACTAAGAAAATATGTAAATTTTAAATATTGAAGTAAATAGTTTATTAATAAATAAATTTAAAAAATTTAGCTATATAATTTAATTGATTATATATATATTGATTCATTATATACAATAAACAAGTATAAAAAAAAAATTTGTTAATTTAAAAATTTTTAATTTTTAAAATTAAAATGAAAAACATTTAACTAAATTTTTAAATAAAAAATATATAAATAAAATATTTATTGGTATATTAGCATTATAATTTAAGTATACACACATTTACTAGCAATATATATATAAATTTGAATTATTTGAATAAATTAAAAAAAAAAAAAATAAATAAATAATCCAATATTATGTAATATTTATAATGATAATATTTAAATAAATTGAGAAATAATACTTAATATTATTGTGATAAAAAAATAATTTATTTGTCATTATATTATATTTTTTTATATGCATAATTATTTTTCTATACCTATATTATTCTATACATACTTATTATATATTCTAAAAATTGTTTAGCCTTCTAAAAATGTTCTAAAACAAAGCAACCTTTCAGCTTAATGGGCAGCGCATCTTTTTTTGTATTTGCTCCAGAGAAGCAGGAGGGCAGCCAGGGTAGGCAGGGCAGGCGGGGCATGGTAGGGACTGGAGCAAAACCTGGGCAAAAGCTCATCAAAAATGATGCCCCGCAGGCAAATGATGGCATGGAAAATAAAACAAGAGCCAAAGCAAGGCAGAGCAAAGCACGGCGAGGCAGAAATGAAGCCACGGCCACAACTAAAATTATACGCAATCGAGCAGCTTCTGTGCAGCAGCCAAAAAAAGAAGAGGAGCAGAGTCAGAAGTGGGAAACCCACATTGAGAGGAGGCGGACAGGCGAGCGCATCCTCCGCAAGATACAAGTCAAAGCGCTCTGCTCGACTCCTGCTCGAGCAGGCTAACAAATTATGCCTGCTGCCTGCCCTGCCCTGCCCTGTCCTGGCCTGGCCTGGCCATAAAACATCGAGTCCGTAGCCAGTGCGTATCACGATCGGCCCGGTGGGCGTGGCAGAGGCGAGACTGGGGCACACGCATTTAGTGGGAACAACAGGAGGGCACACAGGATCGCTGATACCTCGTCCAGCTAGTTCGCTCGATCTTGACTGCCTGCATCAACGCCTCAAACTGGGGGCTGCTGCTGCTGCTCCAAAGCTTTAATCATGCGTTCGTGTTGGCCAAGTTTAAGGTTTGGCTTTAACACACACTCAATGCTGTTGTTGTTGTTGTTAATTCTTTTGGCCAACTCTCGTTGTTCGTGCCTTTTATAATGATTGCATTTATCATTTATTCTGCGCGTCAACCAAATTATATGCCTGAGCTTGCCAGCCAGGGAACCACAGCCACAGCCACAGCCACAGCCACAGCCATGGCCATGTCAATATTAAAGTGCTTCGATTGAACTGTATATACAGGGTTGTCCATATTCGATGAAGCAGGCTGGCAACCCTACATCTTTTCATCTCAAGGCGGGTATTATATAGTGATATAGAGATATGATATTCATAAAGCTGATAAACTCATTAATAAAATGATTATGATGGTCACCTTCTAAAATAAAGCCATAGATTCGTCGAATATGGGCAACCTTGTAGGGTTGCCAAATGGGTCTGTAGAATAGGGGCAGTCTTGTATGTATAGATATGTGTGATAGAGTCAGCCCTATATACAGCTGGGATCATACTGACTATCTATAACGTACTATCTATCTCTGTCTCTAATTCCCTCTCTCTGCCTCTCTCACTCTCTCTATAACTTGAGCTTCCTCAGTTGACCCAGAGCTGCTGCTTTCGAGCTGCTGCAGTTGTTAGCCAAGCGCAGCGTTTGCTCCAGACTCTGCCGCTTTGATCCCAGTTGTCAGTGGTTGAGGTCAAGCGTTATTAGAGCATAACACTGGACGCTGCTGGTGCTGGCTGGCCTCAAGTTTCGCTTTCGTTGCATGGAAGAGTCGCTTGCTGATAAGATGTTGGCGTGTAGCAGCCGCCTACCCATTGACAGGCGCTGCCCAGCTGGATGCCGCTCTGGCAGAGGCTTTGGCTATGGCTTTAGCTCTGGCTGTGGCAGCAACTGGAGCGACTCACACCTCGGCCTCAGTTTGTCAGCAATTACAGTAATTCCAATTAATACGCAGCAGCAGCAGCAGCAGCAGCAGTTGTTGTTGTTGTTGTTGTTGTTGTGCCCTGTTAGGCACTTATTTCTTTTCTAATTTGTGGCGCGTGTTGCATGCCACAAATCTCAAACTCAACGAGCCACTGTGTGCCACTAACAACACACACTCGCACACACACACAAATTAGCATGAAAGCGTAAAGAGTATCTGCAAGATACGAGCTGCAACAGCGCACGCCACTGACACGGCAGAAAACGCAAAATTATTATATCTAGATGCTTTGCCAGCTGAAATGATAAATCTAAACAACTCGAAAGGGGCCGGGGAGGGGGGCCTGTGGGTCTGGCAACCAGTAGCAGGTTGGGTGTAGGCTGCATCAAGTTGAGTTTCGGGGCTACAATTATAAATTGCAAAGAGTGCGGACCACGGCCAGCTGAAGTTGCAGGAGCAGTGAGTGGTAATTGCCCTCGGGGGGAAATCAGCAGCAAGCAGTTGCCAGTTGCCAGTTGCCAGTTGCAAGTTGCCAGTTGCAGCCACTGAGGCACAGCGGAAGCTGCAACGGGCATTCTATCTACCATTTTGACCATACAATTCTAATAGCTGCAGGCCGTATCTTTGGCTAAAAAGGCAGACTACGCAGATACATTTCGATTATGGCTGCAGCAGTTACAATAACAAACTCTCGGCTCTCACTCTTCTTACTATTTTCCTTTCAGTTTTTTGTTTCGTTTTTCATTTTGAGTGATAAATGCAATTGCAGCCGTCGCCCAGCTCCATTTGTATCTGTATCTGTATCCAGGCATCTCCTGCTGTTGCCGGAGAAACCCCTATAATTACTGTTTAAAGATTGTTTTTCCGGGTTTTATTTCTTATTAATTGATGTTGCTGTGGTTGTTGTTGCTGTTGCTGTTGCTGCTACTGCTGGAGGATGCAAATGCTAAAGTTTATTTGCTGCGCACTTCGAGCATATTTCATCGCATCCGATAAAAAACTTGAATATGCTGATAAGAAATATAGACAAAATTCACAAACACATTTTATACACAGCTTTGCTTTGAAATTCTTATTTATTGTCTTCATTTGATGCACACAGTGTGATTAAATTTTTGCTAAATTTAAACTGTCATAACTTGTGCAGTTACTAATGAGTCAGATGCGTGATAAGGCCTGAGGCCTGATATCCGTCTAGTAGGAACTATAATAGTATTTGCTTACGCAATGCAAATTTAATGAAGGCAACAAATTGTTCAGATGGTAGAGCAATGTAAATAAATATTTTAACTTTATTTCAATTTTATTTTTTAGTGAAATGAGGATAGCATTTAAAACAATAATTTCGAGGGTGGTCTGAAAAATAAGAACTATGTAAATATACATAAATATATACTCTACATTTATTGTTTGAAATATTCCACATTTTTTTTTTTTAACTTTGAGCTTAAAATTTCTATTAAATTCATATATTTTTCAAAAATAATAATAATAAATAAATTAATAAAAAATTAAAGTATTTATTGAAAATTGTTTTATTCCATTTCCGTTAATTAATCAAATTAAATTAATGAACTAAAATTGTCGGTATTTTTTAAATATTCATATAAATAAATAATATAGATAAACATAAATAAGTTTACACCATATAAATAAATATAAAGATTGTAAATTAATTAATTTAATAAATGTAAATAAATATTCATATAAATAAATAATATAGATAAAAATAAATAAGTTTACACCATATAAAAATATTGTAAATTAATTAATTTAATAAATGTGAATAAATTAATTCTTTCATTGTCTATTATAAATAAATAAATCAGTTTAAATAGTGTAAAAAATATTGTAAATAAATAAATTTAACATGAAAAATTAAGTTTTTAGAAATAAAATAAAATTAGTTAAATATAAAAAGTTAAATTGTTATAAATCAAATATATTACAGCAACAGAGTTTAATAATTAAATTAATGAAAGCATTAATTTACTATTCTCTAAATTTACTTTTCAAATGCAATATTCATTTATTACAGACAAATTATATATTAATTTCAATGCAAACAAAAGTCGTAGAAGCTTCCCTCCGATTAGAGCATGAGTGCAGTACAATCATATATATATATAGAGTCTTCTTCTATATATACACACGTTCAAGAGTCGATGATAAGCATTATTTAAATGATGAACAATATGAGAATTAAGTCGCAATCAGTACGACAGCGGAACGTGAATAATTATGCAGCTAATTTGCATGGCAAACTCAGTTTATTACAGGCCGAGCCGAGACAAGGTTCTAACTGAAATGCACTTGCCAAGAACTTAGCCGGTATTTATGAGCCTGGCCGGAGTACGCGACGTGCATTTAGTGTTTTCATAAAGTGGCAAAAGCTAAACTTGTCAGAGCAGCCAGCAGCGAGCACTGAGCTGTGAGCTGCGAGCAGTGAGCAGTGAGCAGTGAGCAGTGAGCAGCTTGAGCTCGCGTGAGCTCTAGCGATTGTATCTGTGAGATACATTCGCGCGATAAGGCGAGCGAGCGAGCGAGCGGAACGCGCGCGCTGCCTGCCGCCACATTGTTGATTAAAAATAAATTGTCAACTTTGACAGTGAAGCGGCAGAGTTTTATTTATAAACTAAATGGGTGCGCAATGGAATTTTGCTCAACTGGCAAAAGGGATCGCTCCAGGGCGATCCACAACTGCTGCAAATTGGCATTTTTATTTTTGGCTCTCTCACTTTCCCTCTCTCTCCATTTCTCTGTCTTTCTCTCTGGGCTGCGGCAGACATTGGGGAGACTTTGATGGCACGCGCTGCTTGTTTATTCTTGGCTGCTGACATCAACCGGAGCAACAGCAGCAGCAGCAGGAGCTGGAGGAGCAGCAGCAGCCCGCTAACGGAATGTCTAATGCATGTTGGGACCGCCCAAGCGCCGCACCTGCACTGCCTTTCATTAAAATGCAGCCATTAACACTTTTTTCTTTCTTGCTTCTTCTTATTTTTTTTTTGCCTGCTGCCGCACTAATGGCTCGCCCCTGGGCACATATAAAGCGCAGCGAGAGCGAGCCTCACTTCCGCTGCGACACGCGTTGCTCGTGGACTTCTAAGCAGGCTTGACAATTGCATTGATTGCGTTCCACTCATTAGAATATCACATAAGAAACGAGCTAATGCACGAGGCTTCCAACTGCTCGCCGCGATCATTTATCAATGCCTGCTTGGGTTTGCCATATAAGCCGCGCCATGACACAGCCAAAATGCAGAAGATGCAATGAAATTTGTCAATCAGACAACCCGAAAAAATGACACAACACAAAATGTGAAATGCGCTTTTCCCTGAGAACTTTCGTCGGGGCTAAGATTCATTAGCGCAGCCACAAAAGTTGACAGAACTCAGAGTCGAGGAGCAGCTGAGGAGCAGTTGAGGAGCTGCTATACGGCGCTTAATCCTCGCGATGATTTGACGCTTTCAACGTTTCATTTGTATAACCAGATTTGGCTGGAGGGTACTGAGAAATTGTAAGCCTTCATACCTCGAAATTTTCTCAAGTTAGATTATGATAATGTTGCTGATGCTGAAAAGTATATATATTGGTAATAACTACTCTCTCACATGATTTGATATTGAAAATTGTTCGAAAAAAAAAAAAAAAAAACAAAATAGAGCAGATTAAGTTCAACAATAATAATTACTTATTCATCTACATTTTTTTTGCTGATAAAACTAAGTACATATAATTAAGAAATGTATAGATAGAGACTATCTATGTTTTTAATCTTAAAATATTTTTTAGTAGCAAATAATTGAAACGTAAAAACTGAAAAGTGATGCTACGAGTATATTCTAAACAATCGTTGCTAAAAAGAGTAGATTCCATACGCTGCTTACAATTTATATTCCTTATTTATATTCCCTTCGACCACACATTCAGGGCTCCTGAATCTACTAGACTTGTATTAGTCTCTCTGGGCTATTCTAGAGCGCAAGATCCGAACTAACTACTGACTGCCTGAAGGCAATTTAGTTCAGCTTAAGTTAATTATATAGAGCCATAGTAAGCTGATCTTGATTATTTGCTTTTATTTATATGTAAAATAATAACATAATTTCTATTAATATTCAATTTATACATTATATTATGAAACGCTCTTTTTCCACACACTCCATAGATTTGATATATTACTTCGACTACATTTATCTAACTTAAATCCAACTAAATTCAAATATTGATTTTCTCATATGAAACTTTCAGCACCTCGAATCTAATAAGCTGCATAAATGTCCCAAAACAAACTCATCATTAATTTATTGGTCTTGAATGCAATTCAGAGTTGTTTCCCAGGCCGATGGTACAAAGAAGTATTTGGTGTAATATCAATTTTCTCAACACCTTTGTGGGTAAGATCAATAAACCCATTGAACAGCTCGTCCACGCCGATTGAGAACTCATCAAATGGAAATTATGCACGACCAATTGTGTATACGTAATGCCCTCGGCTAGAGCCCGTTATTTGACTTTCCCAACCTGCAGAGAGCGTATAATAATCATAACTCGAATTGGAAATAATGTAGCATATTGGACAGACAGACAGACAGAAGAAAATACCCCCAAAGACCCCCAAAAGCCGCCCAATAAGGGCAATCAAACAAAACAGAGCCCGTGTGGCGTACGCAGCGCATAATAAACTAAATGGTAAACAAATATTGAAGAAAGACAGAATGTTAAGAGTTCTCCGTCCCTTGCGTCTTCTTCTTCTTATTCTTGTTCTTGATTGGGAGAGGGAGGGGGCAAGCAGAGCTTTTGACTCTTTGTTGGGTGACACAGGGCAAACACAGCGCAAAGCAAGTCTCATGCAAGTGCAAGTCGAATTGGGTCGGGCTACCTGTCCGGCAATCACATTTCGGCTCTGTCTTCCCGTATTATATTTCAATAATTCTTCACTTTAATTTTGGTTTAATGCCAGCGCGTGGGCGTCAGCTCCGACTGACAGCGCTGGGGACTGTAGCGTTCTGTAACGATAGATAGCCAAGATAGTCATCGGCGCTGCTTAATTGTCGTGACAAGTTGACAGTTCGCATGAAAGCCCATCCATTGTCTCCGAACCACCTCCCCCACAGAAATAATAAAAACACTTTTGAGCCGAACTGTCTGTATTAAATTTCGAAAACAAAATGTTTTTCCTTCTTTGTTGAATCGTGCTTTTCCTTTTACTTCTGTTTTATTATATTGCTGTTTATGCATTTATCTCACTCGACCCAATTTCTGCGTTCTGCGGTGTCGCAATGGCTTATTAAAGACCCAGGCAGACCCAGGCAGGC